GGACCAGATGGCCATGGGTCTGGGCGATCGGGGCCGCAAGAGGATCGCCATAGTGGGCGGCGGCTCGGCGGGCATGACGGCCGCCAAGTCGTGTCTCGAGGAGGACCTGGAGCCCGTGGTGTTCGAGCAGACGGACGCCCTCGGGGGACTGTGGCGGTACCGGGACGTGCCGGAGTACGGCGTGCCGTCCCTCATGAAGGCCACCATCATCAACACCTGCAAGGAGATGAGCAGCTTCAGCGACTTCCCCCCGCCGCGCGAGTTCGCCAATTACATGCACCACTCGAGCCTGGTGCGCTACTTCGAGCTGTACGCGAACCACTTCGGCGTGACCAAGCACATCCGCTACAACACCGAGGTGACTCGCGTCCAGAAGAGCCAGGACTACGACGAGACCGGTCGTTGGGACGTCACGTACAGGTGAATCCCTAAACAGCGAGAATACAAGAGTAATCGGGAGGGAGGAGGGGGGCGCTTTAACTTCGCCCTTGAAAAACACACATATCCTTGCTGAGCTGCTGCGACCTATAATGGTGGTTCGACAGGGTTGAGAATAAAGCTGGCACTAAAAAGCATCGCGAGTCTGAATGACCAAATGACGAAACCTGAAAGCGTAGAGAAATTTCTGCTGCGGAGTTAAGTGGCATCCTGTCGAACATGCATTGTAACAACAGCAACAACAACAACAATAATAATAATAATAATAATAATAATAGAGAAAACATGTTGGCTGAGGGACGTTGTTAGAACCACGGTAAGGATTTCGATTTGAATCACAACGCAACACCTGTGTTCGCAAAGAAGTTTTTATCTGTTTATTTTATTATAATTTATTCATTAACCTTTTCACCCATTCATTGATTTAACTAGGTCACTGCAAATTTTTCCAGCTACTCACTCAACGTCAACGTTCTCCTTAACTTCTGTTTGCACCATTGAGAAACAAAGCGCTTTCAAACAATCTACATCTGTGTGACCCTTCCAAATAACGTTGCGCGCGAGCATATATATACATTTTCCCCGGACCCTGGTTGTAGTTAAACTTGCTTGATGTCTCCATGCGTAAAACACACATTTTTTTTCACTTTGTGTTTCGTGTCTACCTCCGATTTCCTATTTCTCTGTAAAAACTACAGCAGCAGTGCCTTAAATTTTATAACCAACTGCTATCTAACATGCTCTATTATGCGTTTTTTTCTTTTTTTCTTTCCTGCCCACTGACACATAGGACAAAAGGCCAGCCTCCCCGGACAGAGACGTTCGATGGTGTGATGATCTGCTCGGGCCACCACGTGATTCCCCACGTGCCGACCTTCAAGGGTCTGGAGAAGTTCAAGGGCCAAGTGTTTCACACGCACGACTACAAGATACCCGACGGTTTCCGCGACAAGAAGATCCTCATCATCGGCGTCGGCAACTCTGGCGCAGACGTAGCCGTGGATTTGTGCCCGTGCGCTGAAAAGGTTTGGCGGAAAGCTGAAAAGCAGCTTCATTTTGGCTCTGCAAATGACCTTCAAGGAAAATTTCGTAATCGGATCATCCAGGCATATTCAGACTCCCATGACTAAGATGATAGAGCTCGCACTTCGCGAGAAGCGTGGCGCGTTAGATATACGCGTATATAGGGTACAGCAACACCGAGTCTCAAGGTCGCGAGAGGATGGGCTTCTGGAAGGCAAGGGCCAGTATTTAACCATAACACAGGTGTCCTTGCCTGACAATTAGCAGTGCATGCCCATCTAGATGCACTCCGTCACACACACAGCCACGCACACAGGCAACCCATAAAGGTTCACCACCTCTCATCCCCAGCGGGCTATGTTATGTCCCGTTGGACTAAAGACCGTAAGCGAATGATAATGTATACATTTCATTTTACATGAACAGCGCAACGTATTAGTGCTTTGTTCTAGTCAAATGCGTATATATAACACGCAGAATGAGAAAACTGAAGATGACGGCACATTGTGCCCAGCATGTATACTGACAAAAACACGTTAAGGTATGTTTTTTCTTACGTTTAGGGCAAACCTTGAAGACCACGTCTCGCCAGAAACGGACGCTTTTCTCGTGTTACGTATTATCACATGGTCACATAAATACCAGATCTACACGCAGTGCCGTTTCAGAGCATGTGTTTCGCTGGAGACTAGAGTGTCCTAGGCAGCATACTGTCCTGGTAGAGCAGTCATGAACGCGCTGCTTTATTTATTTGCGTTTTCTTTGTAGGACAGGTTCTAAGAGTACTGGGCCATCCGATCTCGATTCGCATCCACCTTGCACGCCTCTTCTATTCCCACTTTTGCTGATGTCTATCTATCCTTTTTTCTCATTCCTACAAGAAGTAAGTGAAAAGTAACGAACAACATTCATATCCCATATTTCTCACGTGCACGCAATCCTTGCGAATTCGCAGGTGTACCTGAGCACGCGCCGCGGCTGCTGGGTGATTCGGCGGGTGGGCTTCTGGGGCATACCGGCCGACTCTTTTCTGAACCGTCGCACGGTGAACCTGTTCAACAAGTACGCTCCCGAGTGGCTGGTAAACTTCGTCTACGAGACATACTCGAACGAGGCGTTCAACCACAAGCTGTACAGGCTCAAACCCAAACACCGCTGGCGCAATCAGCACCCGACCATCAACGACGCGTTGCCCAACGGGATCCTCAGCGGACGCATAGTCATCAAGGGGGACGTCGAGGAGTTCACCGAGACGGGCGTCATCTTCAAGGGCGAAGAAGGGTACGAGGAGAAGCTGGACGTCGTCATACTGGCTACTGGATACCTGGTGAGTTGAAGGGCATGTATTGACAGGTAACCTTGAAGTTGTTGAGCGCGGTCTTTTGTGAGGGCACGGAAACTGCGAGAGGGATAGCTTTATTTAACATCCTGCAAATTGATGGCCTGGGTCATGGCCGCGCCAGGGACAGTAGAAAGACATTGTCTCTCGGTAGCTTCATTATTATTATTATTTGATTTGCATACACAGATACACAAGGACACAAGAGGAAAGAGGGAGAGAGCAAGCTGGCAACTGCCACCTGGAGGGGCACAACGCCTGCTCACTCTTTCGGGGGGAGGGGAGAAACAGAGGAAACAAAGATTAGACGGGAGAAAGGGGAAAGAAGATGAGGAAGAGAGAAAAAATGACGTAGACTTCGACAAGTATGGGTAAAAAATAAACAATATTAATAATAATAATAGAAAAAGAAGAAAAATAATAAAAAGAAAATAATACCAATTCCCAGGCTTGCTAGAAAACCCAGAGTTGATCCTGGAGATCTGGTCTATAGTCTTTGCGGCTCTCTACCGCACCCTCGAAAGTTCATGTAATTATCTACTGAACTCTTTTGCAATTTTCTCTGGGGTGGCTCCTCTATCATCGCATCATTTATATTTGGTCACAAGATATAATTCCAGAGACAAACAATTAAGATTTACCAGAAGGTTCGTGTCAGCTCTTACTCCGAAAGCACATCCTCCAGTCAACCACTCGAGAGTTGTCCAATTTTGGGTCTCCTCGTTAGTATAGCGGTATAAGTACACCCGCCTGGCATACGGAAATATTCGTCACAAAAGCTTTATTTTCGAAACTTTCAAGTAATGTCTTTTTCGTGGCTGTGGCTTGCACTGATTATGTTATATAAGTGGCGAATTGCAGCTGGGGCTATATAAAAGCGTCAACATCTCCTAAACAGCATACAATGAAAAATAAAAAATTACAGCATATCCACGAGATGAATGATGACGAGTTGGGCGAAGTGGATGGACGGACGGACGGATGGACGAACCGCCGGACGATTCGCCCCACTCATCATCATTCACTCCGTGGATATGCTGTGACACCGTTTTTATTGACATGCAATGCAATGCAACTGGCTACTACGACGACTACGACGACACGGGACATACGACCCACGGCGTAAGGGGCTTCGCCTTTAAAAGTTTATATGCGAAACTTTCATTTAGAACTGTCGTAAAAAATATATTCATATGTCGTGCACAAATAGTTTAGTTAAAATCAACATATTCGGTGAACTTTTGCAGAATGTCTGTGCGCCTACGCATGGTTACACTTGCGATCAATTACTGTCGGTAGATTTTTGTTATGCTTTATGGCTAAAAAGTCTAGTGATCTACTGGACTTTGTGATGAGATTCGTAAGCACCGTAGACTCGGTTGTCGATATTTCTTTGAAGAGACGAGAATACCGTGGCACGTCAATAACGGTGTCGACCCTGGCACACTAATTTGGCATGTATCCCATGGCAAGCACGTGGACCTAGAGATAAATATTTTATATTTCCGCGAAGAGCAGCACCGAAAAAAATATAGCTATGAGACTGGCTCGGGATACAGTTTACATTAATTTAATTTGGCTCTCATATCGCATTGTAGGCGACGTTCCCATTCCTGGACCAAGAAGTGCACAAAACCGAGAAGAACAAGGTGTGCCTGTACAAGTATGTGTTTCCACCGCACCTGCCGCACCCGACGCTGGCCTTCATCGGGCTGCTGCAGCTGCTTGGGGGCGTTTTCCCCGCGCAGGAGGCGCAGAGCCGTTGGTTCGCGCAGCTGATCAACAAGAAAGTATCACTTCCCTCTTGCAAGGAGATGCAGGCTGACTACGAGCGCTGGCGGGAAAACCTCGAAAAGCGCTACGTTGACAGTCTGAGGCATACGTTCCAGGTACGCAGGACATCATTTAAAGCAAAACTCCATAGGGTTCGTTATGCATTTGCCCAAGATGACTCAATGGTAGCCATATTCTTTTTTTTTCTTTTCTACACTTTTCTAGCTTTCTACACCTAAAGTGTTTTGGAAATGCCTCCAGGATCGAAGGCATTACAAATCTGAATGAAAGTCAATCCCCAGCAATTTTCAAAAAGAAGATACATGCTTATCTACTCATGCTTCAAACGTGATATGTCTTTTTTGTATGTTAATGAAGTGCAACTCGTGTAGCTTTGCTGAAACGCACTGTAAATTTTTCACTTCCTCACAACTGTTCACAACTACGTTTCTGTTTTTTATAGGATTTTAAAGGGATTTTTTGTGTAAAGAGTGCATTTATAGATGTGTAATTATTTCTTATCTTTTCCACGCTCTACGTCTACACTTTGTATATTTCACTGTATTGAATCTATGTATTTATGCTCTAGACACACATGCTGAGTGTTGTGCATTATTGTGGTCTGGGCGGGGATCGGTGCATTGTCAGGCATTCAGTTGCCTTTTCACCACCCCTTTCCATTCAACCACTGGATAAGTGATGTATGTTTAAAACTATGATGATGAATAAACTTCAAACTTCAAACTTCAAATCTCTGCAACTCAAGATGTACTCCGTGACCGGCATACCTTTTACGAAGCGAGTGTCATGTGACTACAATCATAGTGGCGACATGATGACGTCATGAAATTTGGTGATTTATGGTTCTATGGCTGTTTCATCACTAGAAGACTGTTTTTTTTTCTTTTTCTTCGCATCACCCGTGTTAACGCCGGCGCCCGATTCTCGAGCGTGATGAGGTGCCTAAGGCTTCTAACCCAATGAATTAATCAAACTTATGTGTACGAAACGAGCGGTACATAACCGATGCCCAATCGCCTTTGAAATATTTTCCGCTTGGTGATGTGGTCCGTCCTTCACGCAGGCTGACTGGGTGGACTACATGGACGACATTTCATCTCAGTTTGGCGCCAAACCGGACTTGTGGCGCATGTTCTGGCGGGATAACGCCCTTTTCTGGAAGTGCTTCTGGGAACCCTGCCTGCCCTACCAGTATCGCCTACAGGGCCCACACTCGTGGTCCGGAGCACGCCAAGCCATGTTCACGATGAAGGACCGTCTCAAGGGTCCGCTGGACACGCGCAAAATGCCCAACGATTCCAGGAGCAAAAGGGACCGCAAAGTGCGCCGTGTCGTGCCAACGTTCCTTTGGGTCACCGTGATCGTAGCCATATTCATCTATCTGCTCACACTACTCTTTTGAACAGCGAAGACAACGCTCGGCACTGGACATGTGATCACGTGCTCGTCTTTCGTGTTCAAACCTGTGGCCTACGGGCAATGGGTTCGTGCCTTCTCGCCCACAGTCACCGAAGCACAACATTCTGAATGAACTGAACAGCCTTCGGGGCACATTCAACATCCCCAGCTTGTGGACGCCGAACCCGGCCCTGCAAGTTGGATTTCTCGTAGTAACCTTCTTCGGAGACTTGGAGAATAGTCTAGCTGAGTCTGACAGCTCTTAAACGTATCCTGTTTCCGAAGAGCCTGGTAGAGTAGCAGCACTTGACATCATGCCTTCTATTTTACATCGGTTGCACTTGCCTTTATTGAACAAATAAAGATGAAGCTATGGAGGCTGTGCTCACAACATACCCCTTCCTTGCATGTACAAGCGAAAGGTATAAAAACGATGTCGTAGGGTTATGATACAGTGCTGATTGTGATCAACACAGCTTCATCTTCCGCGAAAACCAAGGGACACGCATTTGTAGAACGTGCGGCCCATCACACAACTGTTTACGACAGGGTTCTCAAACTCGCCTCAAGTACGGGCCGGAGTCTTGAAATTCAGTGCCGGTGAAGAAGGCTGAAGAGGGAGGGAGGGGGGCGGTTCGAAAAAAATGGCCGCTAGCGTTGCCATTTGGCGGATAGCCTTTCCCATGCCTCACTATGGGTCATTTCAGAAGTATATGGGACGTCAGGTTTCGAGGAGCATAAATACAGATTTCGGGAATGACTGAGTTCTGGCAATCAGGACGCTGGTTTTTGCAACGCTGTTATGTTTTAACGGATTGAGACCGCATGAGCATCTCATGAAAACAAAAGTAATAAAATGGTTGAGACCATTGCGTAGAGATAAATGTTTTTCGTCGTAGAAAAGCTGAGAAGTCGGCCTGAATTCATTTTCTGGCCTGCTACTCAGCGTTAAGAAAGGGAAGGAGAGAGGAAAAGAAAGGTGAGGGGTGTTGATGCTGATGAGGAAAGTGGCAGGAAGAAAAAAATTAGCAGATCCCACGTACAGTGGGAATCAATGATATGCGAAGCACGAGTGAGGAAGGTTCATATGTCACCTTAAAGGGCCACTCACCAGGCCCCATACCGAATTTTAGTTAGACAGTGTAAGTTGTTGGGTGTACGATGAGAAACATTTTGCCACAAAAGTTTCGAATCGGTTCATTACGAGCGGAAAACACAGGTTTTTTGAAGCGGCGCGAAATGAGGATGAGAGGAGGCGAGCTCGAAACCCTTGCCGCTCCTCCGCGTAGCCTGCGCAAGCCAAATCTCTTCCCCACCCTCTCCAGCATCCGACCATGAGGTGACGTGCACATGACGTGCCCAAGCAAATCCAACCCTCGAGCAGGCGAGCAGCGTTGCTTTATTGACCAGCGTTATTTTGTGGTCTTCTGCCTGTTTCTGCGGGATTGTTTGTAAACACTGGCTTAGATGCGGTAGAGTAGATGAGCACAATGAGTGCATGAACGCGTAGGAGCGTTCCACGGTGGTCGACTGCTCAATGCGTTGACCGCGGGGACACGAATGCATGTGAAACGCCGGCTCATTAGCCCCGCATCTCGTAGCATTTCACGGGGAAAAATGAAATAAATACGTTCACAATTTTTTATTGCGTCTCATTATTTATTTCAAGTTTTATTAATTTCTTAAAGCAACAAATACATAAACTGCGCATGTTGTGTTAAATATTTTTTGTTATGTCACGTGGTATACTGTTGACAACGTCAGATCAGAGTCGTCTACGTAGAAGACCAACGTCATTGCATTGCCGTGTACTAGGGTCATTTATACGCCCACGTCATGCCCTCAGTCTATAGGCGTGCGCCGGCAGAGGGGAGGGGGAACAGCGTTCATTTTGTAATTTGACCCAATTTCGTGGCACGTAGCGTTGCAAATCTTGGCAGACGTGATCACGAACGCCTCGTCTATGCATTGCGCTTGTCAGCTCAAAATTGTCAAACCTGTTGAGTGGCCCTTTAAAGTCAGCACAACGTTACGAGGTGGAGGTAAATAATGTCTTACATGACTTCCGTGTCATGATTAGCACGTTAGGATGTGTCGTTCACCTTTGTCATCTATTCACGTCACGTGATACCAAATTTATATATGTGGAGCTACTTCCTCATCCATTGACGTCACGTAACACCAAATTTGGTATAATATATGTGGACCTAGCGAAATGGCCGCGAGCGCATCATAAAGTGCCCAATATACTACAACGTAACGTTGACACGCGCGAACGCTGGGCACAGCGACGCTACGTTAGCAAAACGCGAGCACTCTATATTCTGACACCAGGCGCGATCAGCGTCCGTGTGCGCGGCCCGACGGCAACCGGCGCGAAATGTGACATGCTGAATGTCACGCCGACGAATTACCCAGACAGCACAGCGTCTACCTCTTTTCGTGACGGAGGGACGCCGGACGCGCTGAAACACGCATGCGTCAAAGCAACGCAGTGCGGAGCGCGCATGCGAGTGTATGGCAGGACCGGCGCCTGGCGTGACAATGCCGACGTGACGCGACGAAACGAACGCCGGCATGCACGCACGTCTGGTCACGTCAAAATGCATTGGCGCCTTGACTTTGGCATGTAGTCATGTTCTCACATGACGCACATCTCATGATTATCATCAGTGCACCAGTCACATGCCTCCGTCATCCATTGACGTCACGTAATATCAAATTTGGCATACGTGAAGGTAGCGAAACGGCCACGAGCACTTCTTGAGTGTGGCATGTAGTCCTGTTACATGACACGCATGTCGTGATTATCATGTTTGGATGTGCCATTCACCTATGTCGTCCATTCGCGTCACGTAATACCGAATTTAGTACATGTGAAGCTAGCGAAAAGGCCACTAGCGCATCATGAGCGTAGCATGTAGTCATGTTACATGACACGCATGTCGTGATTATCATGTTTGGATGTGCCATTCACCTATGTCGTCCATTCGCGTCACGTAATACCGAATTTAGTACATGTGAAGCTAGCGAAAAAGCCACTAGCGCATCATGAGCGTAGCATGTAGTCATGTTGTTACATGACACGCATGTCATGATTATCACGTTTTCACCAGTCGCATACTTTCGATATCCATCCACGTCCCGTAATACCAAATTCGGTATATGCTAAGCTAGCGAAACAGCCGCGAGCACATCATGAGTGTGGCATATAGTCATAGTCATGTTGTTACATGACACGCATGTCATAATTTTGATGTTAGGGTTTGTCGATTGTGTTCGCCATGCAGTCATGTCATACCATACCAGTTTTGCAACATATCATGTGAACGAAACCACCGCAAGAGCAGCAAGACCATGACACGTAAATCATGAGATTTATGGCATACATGTCATTATTTTTATGTTATGACTAGTGAGTTATGTTTGTCATACAGTAATGTTATATCATACCAAGTTTCGTATTGATACCAATATCCAAACGGCCAGGAGAGCTAAAAGTCCTAGGCGGCTAGACAGACAGACAGACAGACAGACAGACAGACAGACAGACAGACAGACAGACAGACAGACAGACAGGCAGATACGCTCAAAGTCGCCGAGGTTCGCTAACAAATGCTACGCATTTAAAACCTTGAATCAACTTATATTTTGTAAAGTTCCGTCTCTCATAAGAACTCAGCGCTTTCACAATACCACGCTGATTACGATGTGGTGGTCCCAACAGAACCCTTTTTTTTTTTTTTAGAAACTTGATGCATGGTACATTTTATCAAGACGGTGGCCATCGAATTTTTTCGCGCGATATATCGTGCGCATTTGTGTAGGTCATGAGCATATTTACTGCGAGAAGAGAATTCAGGCAGCTTCGCACTAGTGGCATCGAGCCTGGAGGAAGTGCAGACCTAAGCAGCGCCTTTTGTTTTGGTTTTTTAGGGGCGAAGCTCCTTAGGGCGTGGGCTGTGTGTCCCCTGTAGCCTGTATGTAGCCACCTCTAGTTTAGTTCTTGCAGTGTTCACTAGATGGCGGTACCGTCCCCTGTATGTAGCCACCTCTAGTTTAGTTCTTGCAGTGTTCACTAGATGGCGGTACCGTCTCCTGTATGTAGCCACCTCTCGTTTAGTTCTTGTAGTGTTTACTAGATGGTGGTACTTGTAGCTGATGATGAAAAGATGCAAGATGTTATAAACTAGAAAGCGGTACTTGTAGTTGATGAAAGACGCGAGATCTTATAAAATAGGAATGATGTCACATATGGCGCGTGTCATTGGTTGAAGGCGATCGTTCGATTTAGTGCGGCGACGTACGCTAGGGGGAGCGTTGTAATAAAATCCGTTCGCTGTTGGCGCGCGCTCGGAGTCGCCGGATGGATAAGGCTGCACAGCGGAGAGAGCGCAATTTGACTCTGGAATCGTCCTCATCACCATGTACCTCGCACCCAACCTGTCGACCGGGAACATCAAGACATTCATAGACACTGCGTTACGAAATTATGAGAACAAGTACAAGAATGGACCATTTGTACTACTTGGAGACTTTAACGTGGCTATCATAGACAATAATTGGCTTATCCAACATATGGCTTCTAGATATGCACTCAGACGTATATCGTTTGACCATATGAAACCTACCACGATCCGAGGAACATGCATAGACCTAGTATTTGCAAATTGCCCACTGCAACCCATACAGGAACCGCTCTCCCTTCATTTCACAGACCATAAAGCCGTCATAATGAAGGGACATCGCAAACCATCCATCGTCTAAGAACAAATAAAAGTTGATTTGTGTATATACACACACAGCGTTTCTCACGTCTTTACATGATGATCGACTGGGCGAATTACACGGAAGATTCACAGTTTACCGATGAATCCCTCCGGAGCTTCGCCCATTCATCATCATTCACCCCGTGAACATGCCGTAATTTTTTTCACTTTTTTGCTTTATTTTTTTTGCAGATTTTTCTCACTTTTTATATTAATTTCTATATTCTCATTTCCCCCTCCCTCTCTCTTTCAATTTCTCGCTTGCTTCGTTTTTTTTATTTTGATACGTGGTTTTACCTCCGTTACGCCAAGCCTAACAGCGTACGACAGCCCGGGCCCCTAAAATGCTCCGCACCTTTAAAAGTTTAGAACGAAGGCAGTCATGTGCAGGCCGGGCCGCTAGCGAAAGTTTCGGGGGCCACATGCAGAATGCGGACCACGTGTTTGAGGCTCCTGGTTTGCAGGATACACTGAAGAAAGGGGAGGGACGAAGTGTATTTCTGCCGAACGCTGCCTATTTCGTTTGGTGTTTTTTGTGTGAATTTACGATTTAGCCGTGTATCATCGCTCTCCTGCGGGCACCGATGGATCCAGACCCCACCGTACGCAATCCGGACTTGGCGTCA